CGTGTGCACAAGTGGGTTCGTGAGTTTTTGCAAGTGTGTGCTTTGTATATATATATATATGAATTAGGTGTATAGACATTAGCATACAAGATATATAGATGTAGAAATACATGATACAATTTTCGTAGCCCATGAAATCTCACATACCAAATCAAGTGGAACATGTTCTGCACCAGGAATTGGATGTACCATACTTCTAATTACATTTCGTACAACAAGCAGTCATGTTATTTACATACATGAATGCAACAAAGAATAGATGCAGTCAAATTATTTTAGGCTTGGATTTAGATTTAGATATTAGAATCTATAACTTGAAGTAAGTGTATAAATTCTTCATTACTTTTATTCGCATAGATGAATGAACCCCTGTTTTTACTAGACAACATCAAGTAAGAATTCCAACAGATATGTAGAAATATATTGTGTACATAATATTTCAAGTTTCTAATTAATTTTGCATCTGATACTACATGCAATTGAACAAATGTTTACTATTTTTGCGCACATATGAACGCACACATGTCTGTTCACGCATCCATGTACGAGTCATAAAACATGTACGAGTCATAAATGTCGTGCATACATGACTACATAATACACAAATGGTAAAGATGGGTGACATGTCTTGATCACAGATATCCAATGACTTTCAAAATACAGGCGCACAAAATCCATGAAATTGAATGGTTCAATTTCGGCCCATTAGATTTAAATCATAGTTGTCATCTAGCTAATTAAATGGACGTTGACTCTTACGTAACAGCAATGGGTATAAATGGTGAAGATTCAATTTGGAAGCATGCATCCATATAGTTCGGATTCAACCACACTTACTATCTTTGACGATGAGCTCTTACTCTGTAGCCGCTGCCTCACTTTTGCTGCTTTCTGTGGTATCGGGTTTCAGCAAAGTATGCTTCAGTGATCAAGCGAATTGTGCAGGATTGGTCTCATGTTCCGATGTTGAAAGCAATACTGACGAATGCAACACAGTTCGTACCTTAGACAAAGGTAAACAGCCTACTTCAGTGCAAAATGTATTGCAATTAACTTAGAGTATATCACATTCAACATACAATGTACTATGAGATATCTCCACTCAATAGCTGCCTCCATTCATTCTTTCCTGTTTGCAGATTACTATTTCATGCTTTACAGAGATGAAACAAGACTCGTCAATAGAGATTGAGGTTTTCAGTGACCACTACTGCACACAGACTATGTTCAACGCCGTACCTAGCTCCAGCGATAGTATACCCAATGGGGAGTGTATGGGCGTGCAGGTTGGTATGAATTAAAACATACTTCAGTGTCACCTACCTACCGTCTGTATCTGCGTCAACATATACAAGCACGGATTCTACGGTTGGGCTAACCAAAACGTTGGTAACGTCTGCAACAACAACAATGCCGACATCTGAAATTTCTGAGAAGATAGAACATTCAACAGTGGCACCAACCGAACAATCGACAGCGACGTCGACTTCGACTTCGAGTTCGACAGCTGCATCGGACTTATCTATGCCAACAACTGCGACAACAGTGGAATCATTCGAGACAACGGAAATTGAAGTGGAATCGTCCAAAACAACGGGGGAGACCACTGGCAAGATCCGACCCCCCCCCCCCCCCCCACGCACTAAGATTCAGCCTTCGATCACAATCACAATGTCAGCTATTTCTAGATCTACAGTACTAGCTACGAGCACGCAAGCTGCACAAGGAACTGAAACCGCCACTAGATCCGAGATCGCACTGGAAAATCAAAGTCAGGGTAACTTGGCGGGGCGTCCTACCGTGGCCCTCTCTTTAATATTTTGTGCATTCTTCGCTCACGTATTGCTATAAGATGTTTATACGCATTGGTTGTAGCAATGGCCGCAACAACCGTGAGGCACGATATAACTTTTAAATAAAACGTCTTGAAAAGAGTGACTGGAGAATACCTCATATTGACAGATCAGATCCATAGGAGTCTAAAATTCTATATATCCATCGATTGACGAAGGTGGGCTTATTGCTATTGTAGACTGCTTGTGATCACTGATCATATTGCTGTTGTGAACTAGTTGTGTCGCATAAAAATAACACAATAAAGCACACACATTTTGAATCGTAACGACTGATGACGTACCGTCTACTGATTACAAATACACAATATCTTGTTCCTCGACCAATGGGCGTACAGTACAATTTGTCAGTGTTTTCCCGATTCCAGCGTCCGGACCCTTCATAAGTTTTATGCGAGTGTCGGATCCCGGATCCGGGAAATATAATGCATACTATTCAATATTCATAGATAGAATTTGGATCTTTGGCCGTACCGCTGTCGGCGTGTCTCTCAGAGAGTCAACTCTATGAGTGTCAACCGAACCTATATTTTTACTGTACATACCATAGCCTTCTTCGAAATTATACAAGGTTATGTACATACTGTATAAATAATTACAAAGTCGAGTGTACTGAAGACGCATATTGTATAAATATAGAGTTTGCTACTGGCAAGCTCTCTATAGCTACGCTTTCAGTAACCAATAAAAAAATCACTGCTAGCAAGCAATACAAAATTTGTCAACATGCAATACAAAATATTAATAAGTATATTGTTTTTCGCTGTCGCTGTACGGAGCGCGACTATCACACTTAGCAACAGTTCCACGGATTACAGTGGGCTGTCCGATTGGACCGGTCAGGGCTTCGCAGATCTCATTAGTGGTGTAGCGGCTGCCGTTGGCGGATTCGCTGAATTAATTGCACAAATGCGTTCCACACAGATGAACATAAGGACGGGTACTTCCCGCCGGGAACGCGAGCGCCAAGGTTATCAATACTGGAATATGGGCATGGGTAGTCCACGGGATAAGACGACAGTCAAGTCTACTCGCAGTAGGAGGTGATCAAGGCAGTGATTTGTTTAATCTGTCTGCTAAGTTCTCTGTGTTTGGAACTAGTTGCGCTACATCATGAGCCGATAGTTTTTTGGCGGCTTGCCCATGCCTTAATGAATATCACCGCACACAGAGCAAAAATAAATATTCTACTCAAGAATACGATATATATATATATATATATATATATATAGTATGTATGTATGTATGTATGTATGTATGTATGTACTATTAGTTACTGTATGTAGTTTATGTATTATATATATATATAGTAATATATATATATATAGTATATATTATTATATATATATATATATATATA